ATTACTCTAAAGTACAAAGAAAATTCGAGCTTCTATTCGCTCTCTCAGAAACGTATATGGCCATCGTATTACACTAACAGAAAAACCTGATAAGTACGATCTTCGGTTGAAAATATCACTCGTTGCAACTTCATATTAAAAACTCATAACACAAGTGCGGCTTCAGGATTTCTGGTCATCGTATATGACCGTGGCAGTGTTTAGTTTTCAAATGAATTCTATCGAGACAAAATAGACAATTTCAAGTTTTTGTTTATTTTCATCAAAAATGAAAATATTCTGGAGCGATACTCTCCACTTTTGTAGAACAAATACACGCACGGCTAACGGCCACTAAGAGAGCATTTTAAAAAGTATGGCGGTCGCTCTGCCGTTCAGCCAGTTGTTGTGCCATTCTGCCGCATTTAAATTCTAATTTATTTTATTTTGTTTAATTTCGGTTCCTTTGATTGTACTGTGGATGCATGCATACATTGGCAAATATATTTATGTATTTCCAATTCCAAAAATACTGATGTATTTTTAGAAAATGACCCCTTTTAGTTTTTGAGATATATGACTGTGAATATCGTTGATTATCGTTTAGAAAAGCAAGTTTTTGCAATGATAAGACAAACGGGAATAACGACGTTATTAACTTCGTTATTCATGTTTCAAAGTTTGTTTAATAATATAATATGGTTAATGTCGTTTAATAATAATTTTAATTGTATAATAAAATGAGCTAAGACATCTATAAATACGTGATGCTCTGTTATATAACACTCAGATTGACCTTTTTACTCACACATACATCAAGGTCACTTACTGACAATTTGGAGTCATTGCAAAAAACTTGCTTTTCTAAACGATAATCAGCGATATTCACAGTCATATATCTCAAAAACTAAAAGGGATCATTTTCTAAAAAATACATCAGTATCGTGTACAACTCGTGTACTTTAAACTACTGTAAAAGATGGAATTGGGTCTTCTCTAATTAATGTAATTTTAGTTCGCGAAGTTGGTACAATACGAAATAAATTTACAGTCAGCACTCTCCCCCATGAATATATCAAAGATGTGATGAAAATATGAAATTTGTTTGTTTCTTATTTTATTCTTTAAACAAAAAAATAAAAAAATTTCTCTTATAAAATAGTCTAAATAGACTAGTATTAGAGTAGAATAAACTGTAAAAGAAAAGTACATGTGGTTTTGATAAAAGAATAATCTTTTGACACATAGTGGTTAATTGTGTTGAAGCAGTAATCAAATCAATTAGAAAAGAAAATGAAGTTCCTGTATACATTTATGTAAATAGAACGTTCTCTTCTTCGTTTGTTATGTTCTCTTGCTTATATGCTACAATACTTGTTATTTTAAAAATAACGAATAAATTGGAAGTATACATGTAGGTTCCAGCATGTAACACAAGTAGTCAGTTAGAGAATATTTCAAATTAAATTCCAATGCTTTATTGTACCATTTCAACAACTAGCACAAAATCGACGTCTTTTCAATTCTTTTGTTTCTTCTGAAATATGAACTTGCTGGTTTCGCATGATCAAATCTAACGTCCGTTCAGTCAAATCGTAATATCGAAGAACGGCTGCGAGAAAGTGAGAGTGTGAATCGGTCAAACTGAATGTGATGTGAACGGTTGTTTTTTCATATTCACAAGTTTTGCCATAAAATAATAACGTTAAAAAGAGAATCTCAAATATTCTAGCTCAGATTTATAATCTATTATACAGTAATGGTCATACTCTTTATTAACATGATATCATTTTGCTTTACTGCAAAAAAAAGAAATACATGACGAATTAAATAAAATACAAGTACTACTAGACATAGTTAAAAATAAATATTTTCTACATTAAATCAGATCATTCTCGAAGAAAATTTGTTTGTTATAATAGATCATGGTGGCATTTTAAATAACCGAACACATACGTCGTTCTTTCCATGGATTTTGTTCTTTATGGTGAAAACCGACAATTAGACAATCAGCTGGTGCATGTGCCTCACAAAATTTAATTAAATCATTTAATGTAGAAGATGCTCGTTCTCGATGTACATTAACCTCAAAACGTAATTGTTCTACAGTTTTTCACATTTGTTGATGAGTACCATCATCACCACTTTAGACACCTATATTTTTTTTGTTAAATTTACGTTGAACGACGAGACATATGATCTTTCCACTTGATTTAACTTTTACATCTCAATTTTTAGTGAGCGAAAAGTAAAGAATGTTACGTCCCAATTTCATGACTACATAAACTCGAAAAACAAAGATCAATGACTAAACATCCATCAACTATTTGTGATATATGTTTTTATATATAAAAGGAGAAAAAAGACAAAAATTGACTATAATCAATGAATAAAACGAAAGTGAGAGGATCTATTTAGAGAAAAAGATTTATTTTTTAGAGGATTAAGATACAATGTGTGTATGAGGCAGGACAGTCTCATCTAGCTTGTTAATCCTGAAACTCCTTGTGAAAAAACAATAAATATGTTAGATAAATCTATGTACATACACATATATGGCACAGAAGAGACAAAAAACCCACTGTTTACACACACACACATTGTCTATCGATAACGAGAAAAAAAATAATACATATGAATTTAGGCATATTTTCACTGCTGTCATGAGTTTAGCAATAACTTCTCCCCGTTTCAGTTGACCAACAGAAATGAATAAAACACAAGTACATGATAAACAAGTAATGAAATGTGATTAGATAAACATATGCATATAACATGAAAAGTTAAAAATTACAGTAAAAAATTAAAATAACAACAACATTAAATAATGATAAAGCTTTATGCACGTTCGGTATTCTCTATGAACTGTATTATTTCTTCCATTAAATTTGATAAAAAATGTGATGCACTCGATTTTTCATCAACATTTATTGACGTCGTCTGAGATTTCTAAACAATAAATTAAATAATGGTCAAAGTTGAGTATTGGTTATAAAAATTTCAGAAATTATAATATTCATTAGAGCTTACTTAAAAGTTACCGCTGGATGTCCAAGAATTGATTCACTATAGAGTGATGCTGCATTTCCTATTTTATCAACAACTAAAAAACAACAACAAATGAATAGGTCACTCATACAACGGTCCGAAATTTACCTGTAAATCGATATAATTGACATATATAATTTGTTAACAAATCTAAATCATGACTAGACGCTATTTTCATACTGTATTTACTTGTTAATAATCATGTTTCAGTATTACTCAGTAGATTGGCAAATGCTGTTCTATAAGGAAACAAAATACATTTAGACGGTGATTAAAGATTATAAACTGTTATACGTACGAATCAATCGATGTTTTTTTCAAGTATTGTGAACATGGTAAATCGATTTTAAACTCAAGCTGATCTGTTTCAGTATTATTATCGGATTTCTGAAATAATAGTATTTCAATATTGAATTATATGAAACTATGACGAATTCGAGAATTCGAAAAAATGGAGTAGAAAATTGCTTAAAAATTCATAATCAGGACTCTAATGTATGCTATAGATGAAAAAACTCTTCTTCAAGAATATCATCTCTCGAAAAATGTAGATTTCATTTTACAGAAAAACCTCATTCAAGCAAAGATAGACAAAAAATGGGGTAACGACAAATCATCGAAAGTATTTTCATCGAACGACATTTCATCGAGAGATTTTTCATCGAACGACATTTCGTCGCATTGATGTACTATTGAATTTCCCTAGATAACTGAACGATAACCACAGTAAATTATAGTACATTGATTGTAAGTAGCTTGAGTTGAAGGAAGGTTTAGGAAATGTAAGTTAATTCATCAACATGTGACATTGTTTTTTCAGTTACATATTCATAACCATTAAAACGCAGTAAAGGTATACCTTTAGTTGTTGAAACTTATAATCAAATTTTACTCCAAAGAACATTTATGAAAGTGATAGAATGTTTTACTTTTGACCATAACATTCTCGTATTGCACAAATCATGTAAAAAGGAAGACAAACAATATGACATGTGTACATATACTGGTTTACTAACGTTTTAAAAAACCTTTCTGTTCTTCTATGATCACGTTCAAATCATACGATATTTAAAGGCATTTTTTTCTCCTCTACTTTATATGTATTGCATTGTGTCACATGTTGGAGAATTAACTTACATTTCCTAAACCGTTCTTCGTCTCAAGCTACTTACAGTCAATGTACTATGATTTACTTTGTGGTTATCGTTCAGTTATCTAGGAAACTTGAAGTTTCCTAGTTTTTTTTAGTTTGGTGCATTGACACCATTAGAACCTCGTTTAGGAAAAAAATTAATTGAACCTTTAACAAATTTGATTCATAGTACATCTGCAATGTCGTTACTATATGAATGTATCAATACAGTTATAGCTGGTGAGTAAAAAAATGATGTACTTGTAATCAGTTTATTGCTGTACTTAACTTACTTTGTTACCAAGATGGATAGCAAAATGAGAATTACAACGTTTAACTTGTTTTAGTTCTTGTTTCAATATCTTCCGGTTTACCAAATCATGGCACTTCTATTCAAGTAAGTTAAACTGATTACTTTGCTTTCTTTCGCAAGTTGACTTCAGCGATTTGTTTCAGGAAAACTGAACGAATCTTCAATTCGGAAAAATATATAGATCACTATCAGAAAGAAAAACAAAAACAACAAGAAAAATTCAATGATCATATCAAAGCTAGTCTGTTTAAAAATGATCCCGACAAGAACATTGTCCATTTGGATAGAAATGATGCATACGATTGGCATCGCGAACGATTATCGAACATTGACGAATTTGTGCAATTAATTTTATGGCAGCATCTATGATGGACATTAAAAAAAAGAAATTTCATTGTTGTGCAAAATCTGAGATGAATAAACTCACGACAATCGCCACAAACACGTAAATTCTTCACTACTTGTACGCGACTTGGCATTGGTCTTTGAATAAAATTGAAAGCAATTGCCAGTCGTTCACTGTGACCACATAATACTGATTCAACAGTTTCATCATTCATCAATGGACGTGTAATCCAAGATGCATCGTGTTTGTGACCATGTTCGATCAATTCATTTGTCAATCGATCTAATTCTGCATAGATTTCAGTTGAATTCGGATGAGATCGATCATGAGCTCGAAATTTCTGGAAAAAAAAGAAATTTCATATAATCGTTTTCAAATTGATTTTTACACTCACAAAAACTTTTCCACCGACAACAGTCCACGAAAGACCGGTCATTTTTCTCAGGTTCGATTCATTCAATTTCATTCGAATTTTTGACGCCATCGATTTGTTACCACTTAATGCATATGTGTTGGCAAGAAGAACTCGGGCTGATAGGAGACAATCTTGGACATCGGAAAAGTGTGATTGCATCCGATCAAAAATCTTTTGAGATAATGCAGGATTCTTTTGATTCCGAGCAGCCGAGAGTATCGACACTGAATGAATGACAAAATAGAAGAATAATTGAATGTTAGAAGAAACAAAAAAACCTAAATAACTTACTGTACATAGGAATTGAAGGTGGATGAGATTCTTCGAATTCATCAATTAATTTTTGTGCTTCATCAAAAAGGCAGACGCGACTGAAACAATCGACCTAGACAATAACAAAACAAAATTAAAATAAATAAACAAAAACTCTTTTTTTACCATTGTAGTGTAGATTTGTTCTGTTCTTTCATTCATCGAAATCTTGTCAAAAATCTTACGAGCCTCATTGACAAGAGCCGAATGAGAACAAGCATTCAATACGCATACATAAATCCAATTATCCAACATATCAAATGAAATTTGACGAAAAAGTTCAACAGCTTGAATACCCATACCATTGAGACCATATGCATTAACTTAACAAGAATATCAATCAAAAATTTGTTTAATACAAAAAGAAAAATTACCCATGGCCGAATAAGAAACGCTGTTTGGCTGTTCAATCATGTTGAAGATTTGTTTTGCTTTGTCTGCCGAACCTACTTTACCCTATTCAAATACAAAACAAAAAAGGCACAAATCAGTAATCAAACTATCTTAATTCACTTACCCACATATCGACTAATCCAACTTGAATCGAAGGATTAGTCAATAAACTTTGTGGCATCTGTGAAACGATTGATTGACATAATGAAAGATCACCGATTTCGGAACATGCATCCATGAGTAGAACGAAAATAATTTCATTCGATTCGATTTTCTCTTGTTTCATTCGTTCGAATAGTGCCAGAGTCTTTTCGGGCTCATGTTGAATATTGTAGATTTTCATCAATGATCCATAACAAATGACATCTCGATCTAATCGATCAAAGAGAGATTCGGCACTTATGATATCATTACATTTGATAAACATATTTAAAACCGAATATAGAAGATCATTCGCTTGGCGATACTGAACAGATAATTGACCAAAGACTTTTTTGCCCAAAATCAATGCATCCTGCGTTCCTAATCGAGCACATGCATTGAAAAAAATAGTGAAAATAATTTCGTCGGGCTTTTCGATCTTCGAGAAAAGGTCAATAGCTCGTTGTGGCATATTATTCGAGACGAAGCCTAAAACGAACAGAAAAATTCGATCGACTCAGATGAAAATCGATTTTTTTTTACCGGCCATCATGGTACTATAAACGATTAGATTCTTCTTCATTTGAGTAAATAATTGTTCAGCATTCGACATATCGCCACACTTGATGAACATTTGTAAGGCCGAAGTTAGTACAATTATATTGTGACGGACTTTATCGGGCATTGTATCGAATATCTTTTTTCCAAATTCTAATGAGCGTTTGTCGGCAATGTGTGCACAAATTTTGAATATGACACTGAACGTATATTCGTTTCGTTCAATCTTCATCTGTCCTAAAAGATCTAGTGCGTCTTCGGCACGATTGTCGTCAACAAGACCTGACAAAAAATGAAACAAACAAATATCAATAAGAATTTCACTTAAAAAGAAATTACCGTTGAGCATGGTATTATACATCGCAATCGTTTTATTGGTACTCGTTTCGAAGATTTTTCTGCTCTTTACAATATTGCCACATTTCACTACATAGAGAATAAGAAAGTCATAATGGAAGTATTTCAATAGAACGACTTACTATAGAGACGAATAAGACTAGTTCGAATAAAGGTATTGTTGACTAAATAGGGAGACAGATTTTTGTGAATATCTGCTCCACGTTTTATATCGCCCAATTCAATACAAGCTTTCAAAGCTTGATTAACAGCTAAAGTCGTAGGCTGTTGTTGAATTTGGGCCTCGAATAACGCGATAGCCTTGTGAAATTGACCGATATCGTTCAATTGCTTTATCTGAGTACCTAAGTCAATGAATGACGAAAAGTAACGTCGGGAATGGACGAGTGTAAACAAGAACATCTAAAACAATATGACATAAACAAAACAGAATATCAACATTGTCGAAGACTAAAAAACTCTCAAATTAGAAATGAGTTTTCTGTTTAATCTGCTTCGATATACGCTTCTCATTTAAAATATTGAAAAGTTCGATGTTGATATCTTGATTCTGGCTTAAGATAGAATTGTATCTATTTTGACGAATCTAGAGAGTACACGAAGATAGGAGCGGAGTTTAAGCTGTACCTGTTCGAAAAAGATTCGATTCAAAAATGGACAATAAATTTCAGAAACATATTTTCTAAAACTTTTGTTGATTTCGAAAAATTCCGTCATTTACAAAATTTACAAATTTATTCTTCTGTACTGCTATGTGATTTTTGCAATTAATGAAATTTCCTTTTTTTTGAAAACTTGTACATACCTCACTCAATTGTAGTTTTCGCAATTTAAAAGAACATTTTTTTTCTATTTAAAAGATGAATGTAGAGCTGTCAGATCCATACGAACCCGAAACGTTCTCTGTCGCAAGATCTATCTTTTGACTATTCACCGTGAAAAAATGAATTTTCGTGGACGTCTATATAATTTAACAAAAGTATTGGAATTTTTTATTAATGTTTCTTAATGTTGAGTATTTTCGTTCTCGAATAGTCAACTATTTCTATTAGTGTTTGCATTTGTTTTCACCATTGGCATATATTTTCCGATAAAATATCATCATATATCATATCAAAAAAATATTTAGTGAGCAATATTATTTTATTTTTGTAAATAAATTAGTTTAAATTACAAGTGGTACATAGAAGAAAAATCATGAATAAATTAAACAATTCTTCGTTCGATAATTTCTATTTAAAATTTGTTTAAATCACAAAATGAGAATCGTAGAGTAAAGAATAGGAACGATAAACTCTCTATAATCGATGTCGAAGAACTAAACATAAGATCACCATAGAAAAAAAGCTACTATTCCTAACCTACATTCATTGATTCCAACTGTTAATATCGAATAGAAAAGAAGTGTATTGAATGTAAAGAAAAACTTAATGTCATTATCATGTATTATTTGAGTTGGATCAAAACTGACAATATGAAATTATTCTTCAATACAAAAAATAAATCTGTATCGATTTTGATTCTTATTATTGTCATTCATTTATGTGAGACGGTGAAGATTTTGAATAATGTTTGCTAATGAGCGACTAATCATCAATTGATTAGCATAGAAAATTATGTGACGAATATATTTCAGATTCGAGTAAATTCATATATTCCTTATGGTAGTTTTAGGCTACAATGATCTATATATCTCGATCGAATTAAAGGTGTAAAAGGTTTTTAGGTTAACAAAATATATTCTTGTTTTTGACTAAAGAGATCTGTAGATTAAAAATAGATCGGTACACCTAGATACGACGTATTCAAAAAAGAGAATGATACACTAGTTTTATCACGATTAACAACCACAATTAAATATAATCGTGATTATGTGCGTAGTGTAAGAGTTGTAGTGCATCTATCTCTCTACTGGAAGTGTATACAAGCAGAGTTGAAAAGAGAAAATTTCCGAAAGCTCTCTGTATTATTCTCTCTGGAGTGCTCATAATCAGAAAAGAAAATGCGAAGATGACACTTCCGCTTTTTTCTTCTTCATTCTTTTGTGTCAAACGGGTAGAAATACTCGCGCACGCAGATCTTCTGGGAGAACAGCTATTTTCTCACCTTCTTCATGCCTGAAATGGTGATACGATACATATCTTTAAAGCATTTTTTTTATAAGACTCTATGTATGTATACAGCAAATATGTGCGTGATTTTTGTCATTCTCATTTCAAAACGAGACATAACAGTGTTCCTTTTATATGAGGTTCTTATTTTGTTAATGTGAAGCAGAAATCAGTTTTACTTACGCTTTTTACATAGTCAGTGGACTGACTAACAAAACCTATGGCGTTACTAGATTTGAGGTTTAGCTCAGTGAGCTGAGATTTTTAGTAATTATGTATTTTAACGAGACTTTTATTTTCTTTTTTCTCTTAAACAGAACCATTTTGAGACACTTTCTTGAAAGACAACGCCTCTGGACGCCGTTATAGCAACCAATAAGACAACATTCGGCTCCTATCTCGACTTTCCTCCTGTACTGAGACGGCTATTATTCGTGCACGTCTCCATAGTTATACAGCATAAACAAATTTGCGTGAAAATACTTTGAACCGCGATGTCCTGATTTTATTACAATAAGCTTCTACTACTATAAAACACTTATTATACGAATAGCAGCTCTTCAAACCCATTTTGAGAAAACAACCAATGGCTATTGACTAGCTAAGAAATTTCACTTAGTCAAGTAATCAACAGTTTATAACCGCTCTTTTGGCTTTCCCAAAATAGCATTGCTGCAGCCAAATAAGTAATTTACTGTGTTAGTATACGGTAATTCTAATAAGAGAGCCAAGAGACAAATCCTTTCAACTTCTTATTGTCGCAACTTTGAAACCTTTCTTTTAACCATTTCAGGTATCAAACGGTGTCTCAAAGTGTGTTAGAATCTGAGTACTCTTTTATGTTGACTGTGGAAAGTTCTCAAAATAAAAGCTTCTAGCTGAACTTGAGATGAATAATTTATCTTGATTGCATCATGTTCCCGAAGTGAAAGCTGGGTAAAACATGATGAAATCAGCGTTGTACATTCTCAAGAAGAGCTCTTCGAAGGAGGAGGTTTCTTGAACCTAAATCTTTTGCGTTCTGATGCTTTGGAGCTAATATTTCGTACAACTTTATAAGATTTCTATATAAAGAGATGATGAGATACGTATAAGAACTTATCAGAATCTTATAAACTTCCTATAGTACACCGTAAGATCGATTGACCTACGACTAAAAACCATGAACGAGGAAAATAACAAGTCCTGTTCATACCAGTTCTCGATGTTTTATATGTGCGGTTCGATTATCAGAATAAGTGTTCGAAACTTTTCACAGTTGCGTAAAGTCGTAACATGTGCTTTGCTAAATCGCCTCGGCTTGCTCTTTAAAATAAAGTACACACAACCCCTAACGTCCTCAGCTATGAAGAAAAACAAGCCAAAAGTATGGCAGATAAAGCTGAGTACAAAAGTCTACAAAAAACCATCTTTCATATGACTTTCTCAAAAGAAAGTTTAGGCCTTTCTTAGTTATTGCACAATGTTTTACCCGGTTTTTCTACAGGAACATGATACAAAAAAGTGAATTGTTTGACTGCCATTGTTAACGTACCAGGAATAAAAGAATGTATCAGAACAACTAAATGAGAAGTTCATTAGAGCGATTTGGTGCCAAACTCATGTTTGTAGTTCGCGCCCAAGTCTATTTCTGTCGCATTTGTCGGAATAATTATAAAAAGGACTTCTTTTCAATAATTGTGCAAGAAATTTCACGTTTTTGCATTATTTTTGGGTAAAGCAAGTGCTCTACGTAGAATTTTAGGCATGGCAGACATCTTGGATTTCTATTGGTTAGCATACGAAACAAATAAAATAAATGTATGTAGACACGAGCGCATTATAAACAAATTAAAAGGATCGGAGCAGAGCATTTCAGTATAGCAAGAGAAAAATATTCTGAATCGAACTGTCGATTCAGATTTTCCACACCCGTTCGCGGGATAGGGTCCCATATCCAGTATGATCGGAAAATGTGGATTTCGGTATAGATACATCGTTATAGTAGATGTCCACCACGTCAGGCCCGAACACGTATGTTGTCCAATAACGATACTCTTTTGATCCTTCAGTGTTTGCTTGTTTAATACGTCGAAGGTTTAACTGTCTTGTAAACAAATTTACTCTTCTGGGAGCTATCTTTTATATAAATAGTAATAGCATTTGTTCCAAAGATATAAGATGCACGAATTCGGTATCCTGCAGAGCCTTCTGAGTTTCCTTGAGTCAAAAAGGCAGCAAAATGACGTTCCGAAATAGCATAAGCTTATGGAGGCTATAGGAATTTTTATTTTCACTATGACTAGCAGCTAACGAGTCTAATTTGGCCAACTTGCAGAATTATGGGCTCGGCAAAACGTGGCGAAAGTTTTCAAAAGTGTAGGGAAATTGTTCTAGATCTTTCCAAACGCTTGATCAATGTAAGTTGAAACAGTGTCTTTTAAAATCTGATATTTACTTTTCAATCACTTTGTAATTCGAACTCTGAAGTTACAAATAGCTTAACTGAACATTCGCCGCTAGCATATCTACTCAAAGGATCTTTTTGAATGTGAGTTTTTCCGTCCAAACTATCGAAATTAAAATGTAAGTTAGAAAAGTGAGAGAAATACGTAGACTGGTCTGTACTCAGTATCTACATAGAAAGTCTCGGCTTGAGTTAACTGATTCTGTGAATTTGAATAGATTTTCAACTTTTTAACCGTGAAGATAATTTTTAAGATTTTTTCACTGAGACTAAAGTAATGCTGGCAGTCATGATACATCTGTCCTAAAGGTCCTAACTTTCTCCGATAAACCATGAAAAAGCAGGTGTCCTCAAGATTCACAATTCTTCTCAGGTGTGTAGAGTATTTCAAAGACTTCTTTGAGTATTTTCTTCTAAATTTCAAAAACCCGAAATCCCCGACAAAAACTAACTCTTGGGCAAGTTCATTTGAGGGACGAGTGTCCACATGAAAAACCGTAGGAAAAAAAGTTCGCAAAGAACTGTCTGAACGGCGACAAGGTGCTTTCTCAGAACGATCTAAGTTGAAACTAACTTTCAAGTTTAAACTGATGTCTATGAGAAAAAATTTGAAAACTTATTTCTAGTTTTTCAAAATTGTCCGCTAAAATAGGGTCCCCAACTATATAATGTACACTTTTTCATAAGCATTTCATGGAAATGCTCGCGTTTTCAATCAATTTGGCTAAGTAACCGATCTCCGCTGAATCTGGCACTGTAATGTGAAAATTTACGTCCTATGACTATGTCAATATTGTTTGTGAAAGCCAAGACTTTGCTATAGGTTGTTTAATATGCGTTGTCGGATGGAGTTACTTTCAGAACAACGTTAATGCAGGTCTGAAACCGCTTTCGGTCAAATCCACTTGGTTTCTGGAGTCCTATTTAGTATGATTTAATCTGCTTTTCAAAGAAGCTTGTCGCTTGTGGAGAAATTATCTCTTAATCTGCGCCTCTATCGAGTGTAAATTCTATATGTTTTTCACCCGATGTTCAAAAATCGTGAAACTTGAGTTTCATACGTAACTCAGCGTGCGCTACAACATGCAGGAAACTAAAGACGGGTACTCCCCTTCACTGATTTTTTTGCAAAGAATGCCAGTTAGGTATTTTGGGGATATAGGCCCAAAGCGAATGTGACCCTGTTTTGCCCGAGATTATTAGAATCTTTTTTAAGGGCTTTTGATTTACTTGGCTGAATTCTATATTGCATAAAACCTTCTGACTCATAAGTAATGATGTCGAGGAGAAACAAAGAACTGGTAGTGGGCGAAAGTCAGGCTTATCTGATGCGCTTAATATGGCGAAATTATTCTATTGCACATTTGTATTATCCTTCACATTTGTGTCCCATAGCTAAATAAACGAGCGACAATATGTATTTCCTACCCGTCGTCCTTTTCTTATCCTACGGACAATGGAAAGGTAGGATAACAGTAAATTCATTGCTAGCCGGTTTTACGAAAACCGCTCGAGAAACTTCCTAGGTATCCATTTGGCTAACTCATAATCCAAATTAGATAGATGAAAGTGTATTTTAAGCAAAACAGTCTCAAAAGTAATCTTCGTCCTGAAAAAGATTTAAGAGAGCGTCCGCGACTCGACCGAGCATACGCCCTTGGAGCCGTCAAATTTTGAACAAAATGTCGTCGCTTTTATTAGCTCATTTGATAGCACGTACAAAGTCGTGATAGTGCAAACTTTTTTAGCATTTTAGAACTGAAACTGACACAGGTACCAATTCTTTACTAAGAGCTACATCAAAAATGATCAAAAACCGACTCTCTCACTGCATTTGACTTTAAAAAACGAAACACAGTGGATTCTCTTGAACAACGTCTCGTTCGATAGCGCTCCTCAAGCTGCATTGGATGGCGTGTGCAGAAGTCAGTTTGAAACTTTGTACCGCTTAGGAAACGAAAAGTTTTTGAAAAAGTTGAGTTTTTCCAAATGACGAATTTTCCGGTTTTCGTCCCTTTTCACCTCCACCTGTCCAGTGGATGTCCAGAGATTTTTTTCCCTTGTTTGTAGAACAGTCGATTCTCGATCTACTGACATATTTTTATGCATTCTTGAAGGTGGCTTAGCAAAATTTGACGGCTCCATGGGCGTATGCTCTATCGAGTCGCGGACGCTCTCTTAAATCTCTTTCAAGATGAAGATGACTTTTGAGACTGTTTTGCTTAAAACACACTTCCATCTATTCAATGTGATGCATCCACCAGGTAAGTGTCAACTGTCTGTAGTATGTCGCTCTTCAGATACATCGGAAAAGGAGAGTGTCATTATAAAGGTTTTGTATCAAAGGAATTTTTACTGAAGTTATGGTGGATACAAATAGAAGTGCACAAGCTGACGGCAACTCCTACTTTATTCAACTCTAAGAAGGAAAAAGCTTTTTGCAAGTTTTTCATCCGTGACTTAAAAAAAAAACTTTGTTTTGATTCAAAGGTTGGTATTAGAGATGTGCACGGGTACCATTTTCGTACCCGTACCCGACCCGTAATCGACTTATACCTAAAAATTTTCTCCTTTTTGTTTTC